GAACCACTGAAGCGTCGACCATTTCTGGCTGGCAACTTTCAGCGTCATTAAGCCGCTGTGCCACCACGTCCCCCCGTTTGTGCTTATGGTCCAGCATAAAAGCTATCAACCTGTTTCCTTGTTCAAAACAAGGCAATATCAGCTCAATATCCCAAGAATATCTTCCCCATGAAATTTATTTTTTGCTGCAAGGAAAAGCTCTTCCATGGGCCAAGTTGGGCTGAACACAGCCATCCCTAACGTATAATTAGCTTATCAGATAGGAACATCCATTGAACTGAATGGGATTTCCTACAGAGTAAATACACATTGATTTATATTTGCTGAACCGAGTTTTCTGCTACTTTTGTGCATGAAATAGTTTATGCGTGAAAGAATGGCTTGTATATACAGATGGGAATCGATTTTACTAATGGAGTGCCTTACTTCACTAGCAATGTGTACTTTGTATGAAAACAATGCTTTGTTGGCTGACAAAAAAATGATTTGCAGCCAACTTCTGATTAAAACATGCAAAGAAAAAAATGGGTCTGAAAATTATATATTAAAGACTAAGGTGGTTGTGTTGAACAGGGAAAATTGAGTGAATTATAAATTATACATAAATGATGAAAAATTAGATGAATTTGTGCACCTTGATAGCATTTTTGATAAAGATGGAAAAAGAGGGATGGAAAAAAAATACAAGATTTGCAAATATTGGTAGAAAGGGAATCGTTTGGGCCTATCGCAAGGAGTGTATCGGGGGGGGGAGCAGAAATGATTTTTATAGAAGCAGAAGCTTGTATAAAAATGATAGGAATAGATGGAAATACATTTTCTCCTGCTTGGCTTCCTTATCTTAAAGCTGGAAGATGTGCTAACTGAAGAGGCTTGCTTAAGGCCCAGTAATTGCATGAGGTAAAAGGGACCTAGAAGGCAGGCCTTTTCCACCAAAGCCCTACCTCCAGAGATAAGCCTGGCCTCCTGGCTCTTGGTATTCCAGAATACCTGAAGTCTGTTTAAGCAGGCATTTAATCTGAGCTGATAGTGACCAGGCAGCCATTTTAGCTATTTTACCCTCAGTTGAGTGTGATGAATTTTACTATGGATTTTGTTTTATTGCTAACAACCACACAGAATTGACTGATTGGGACATTAGAAAACTTGTGATAAAAAAAAACAACCTTTGCTTTGTCCTATGATCTGGCCAAGTTGTCTAAGGGTTTACTGAAGAATGTGCAAAGACCATTCTCTCTGTTAAGGAAGGGGTTCAGACTCTAGAACAGATTTCTCAGTGGGTGAAAGCAGAGTTATTTTTCCAGATTCCTATGGGCATTTATTTTAATGTTTACATAAACATTTTAAAAGCCGTTTAATTCTTTATCCAAAATTTAAGCAACCAAATTTTGAGCAATTTGGGTTTGGATAACACTTTGTATGAATTACCATTCTTACTGTTGTAGCCGTGAGGAAAGAACAAGGGAGCCACTGTTTTCTAGAGATGAAACGCTCAAAACATTTCAAGCTTTGTTCCAATAGAATATTCAAACCATTTCAAGTTTTCTGTCAGAACACAACCAAGTTGAAACATTGCATCAGAATGCATCTTCTTATAACCTTTTTTTTCCTAGCCTTCTTACCGAGGGACTGTAATTCAAGGTCATTTTCCTTTCAGGTAAATTCGATACACTGCAATTCTAAATTATACAGAGCAAAACAATAGGAGTCCTATTTTTACTGCAACCCTTTATCAAAGGATCCATTTCTAACAATTTATTTGCAATATTTTACATAAGAATTTTACATGCAATATTGTAGTACTCTCACGTCTTTATGTGAGAGGATAAGCCAAGCATTTTTAACAGACTTCAGAAACTTATTTTTAAAAAGACACACACACACACACACACACACCACTTTTACTTAATTGATGCTCCTTTAGTACAAAAATAAGTATCCACAGCACATTTATTTAAACCTTAAATTACTTCATATTTTTCACATAACTTTAAAATATATTCTTTTAAAAATATATAGCAAACAAGTGCAATATTTCAAACTTAAAAAATAATCTTTAACCAAATCTGTACAACAGATAAATAAAATATCTATAATACTTGGTTTATAAATGTAACAAAAGACTCCCACCCTAACAAAAATTCTCAGTGGATCTCATTTGTACATTCAACCCCTGACTTGCCAGCCATTACATCCATGTTAATCAAAATTGAAGAAAAAATGCAAATCATTAATGGCAAAGTAGAACTTTTCACACCTTTGAAATAAATGGTCAGCTAAACACAGGACTTACACAAGAAGCAAGATAATGTAACAAACATTACATTAAAGCAATTTGAAATCTATTATTATTTAGTGGGATTTCCTCCTCTCCTTCCCCATTATTCAGTATAATCTTTTACAACAGGAGTTCCTATTTCCATACTTCAAAACACACTAATAAATAAAAAGCCATATAATTGCACATAGGCATAGAAAACAATACTGTCTATTCATTCTTCAAGTGCTAAAACTGGATGCAACATGCAGACGTAGTAGGGACACACTGCAATTGACGCCCAAACCTGGGTTCCCAATTAACATGGCATAAACATACCTCCCAAGGGTGTCACATTTTTTAAAAAAGCAGACATTTCTTTGCCAAAGCAACCTACCCCAAGCAACTCAAAATGCTCTTTAAAATGGTTTTCAATGGAAAAAAAAAGTTTTTAGATCATACATACCATTTCACCACAAACCTCCAGTCCCCAAACTTAACATTGAAGCTGATATTGCTAGAAAGCATACTGGGGGATAGGTTTAAACATTCAGTATGAAATTTTAATGTGAATATGCATCTTAGAATCAAGAACTGCATATTCCACACAAACATTAGGAAGCTGGTTAATACTTATAATCTTATTATGACTACAAATTGCCCAGTTCTATATTCCAAAATGCCAGAATTAAAATTTCAGAATTGATATATTCCATTTAAATTCTTCAGATTAAGTCACACTATTTCCTTGAAATTCAGTTACTATATATTTCACATCTGCACCTCATGCTTAGGAATATGAAAAGAAAAACTACCATGAGAATATAACTAAATAGTGATGAAATTTGAAAGGCATATATAAAACATAATGTTAGCATTTAGATTTTAAAGCCTTTTAATGCTGTTCCTAAACTACCCATTCTTC